GATTTGCCTAATGCAATACGTTGTTTGATTTCTTGACTGCTGCTTCCTTGAGTTTTGATAGTTGATCCAAGAAGAATGAGTCCTTGACAACTTCAATCTTTTCTCCGTTAATAAGAATGTTGTTTATTGGTCCAGTGGTGAGGAGTTGTGTTTTCTTTACTTTGAGATGTAATCCAAACCGAAGGCTGTGCTCTTTGCTCTTCATCAGTAATTATCACTCCTTTGTTCTAATGGTAGTTTTCTATTTACCTTATGTCTTCTATGTTCATTCATTAGAATTGTGTAAGGAAAAGTTCACCCTTCTCTAGTTTTAAAATTCAGCTACTTATATATATGGACTCAGCTTTATATTAATGATACGGTACTATTTGTTTTCTAGCTCAGCTTGTTCAGTTCTGACCACTGGAAGGTCTTTTAGGTTGACTTCTATGTCTTTTCCATCCACCATCATATGCCCAGCCTTTTTTGTAAAAAGTGTTGCTTTACTTTTTGGCACCACAAAATACTGCCAAGTTCATCTTGTCTTCTCTCCCGAGTTGACCACTTCTCTGTGGACTGAACCATGGTTCCTCTTACTACATGATGGTGTTTAGAAATAGATGTTGTTGCTTGTGTACTTACTGTCACTGTTTCTGGTCTCTCTCAGAAGATGATGTTGTGAAGTCCTGTTGAACTGATTTTGGCTCAGAGTGACCCTGTATAGGATTTCTGAGGAGCAGCTGGTGGGTTTGAACTGCCAAGCTTGTGGTTTGCAGTCCAGTAATGATCCTACAGTACCACAGAGTCCATTCTAGCTTTATTTATGGCTTTCTCTGACTCACCGTCTAGTGTTTACTTGTCAGCTGTAATGTATAAACAACACAGTTTCAGAACTATTAACCTATACCCCTGTGAGGAACCAGTTTGTCAACTGTAGTAGTGTGTTGTAGAGATGTTTTTCCCTTTAGCTTTTCAGTAGCGTGTCATAACACTTCCACAAAAGTTACTTCGGTCCTTACAGTAGTTCTTTTTTCCCCGTCCCCTGGAGTGCATGATTCATTTGCAATACAGTTAGATTCATCTGTTAGACTCTGCATTCTGTCCTCCCCCATACATCCTGGCTGATTTTGGAATTTACATACATTAAAATTCACTTTGTGGTATACAGTTCTGAGTTTTGTGAAATGCAAAGTTGTGGATTCATTACCTTATGACCACCAGAGACTGTTCAGTCACCCACAAAATTGCCTAGTGCTGGCTCTTTATAGATAACCTGCCGTCCCTTAACCCCTGCAACCACTGATGTGTTCTCTAAACTTTTCGTTTTCCTTCTCTAGAGTGTTATGTAGGTGGGATGAAACAATCTGTAGCCTCAGCAAAACACATTGAAGATTTATCCATCTTGTATGAAGCAATTCTTCATGTATTTTGATTGCAGAATACCATCCCACTGTATGGATGCACATTTTCTATTAATAGACATTAAATTAATTGTAGTTTGTGATAGTATGAACTTTAGAGATATGTATGTACAATTTTTTATGTGAACCTAAGTTTTCATTCTATAGAGTATTCTATACCTAGGGTTCGGATTGCTGGGTCATATGCTTAGCTTTATAATAACATAAGTAAGAACTGTAAAAGCTGCCAGAATTTTCTAGAAGTGATAGCACCATTTTACATTCCTACCAGTAACGTATGCATCCTTG